CCTGGTTAGATGGTATACAAATTATTTCATGTAACTTTAACGAATACACACAGTCACGCATACCATCATGTAGAGTTGATCTTGAAATATTACCTAGTTCCCAGAATTTATTAGATTTTTTAAAAATAGTAAGTTTAAGAAATTTTACTTAACGTATTATTTTTTTAAGCTTGATTTTGATATTTATTATTTAAATTTATTTATTTATGCTTTATAAATTTTATAAATTTAAAAATTGCGAAAAGGGTAGAGAATATAAAATATATGGGATAACTCAAAATACATATAACAATGAATATATGATAGTTAAAGATGACGAATTTCACTCGAAAAGAAATTATTTGAATGGAAAATGTAGAAATTGCAAACGACATAACACATCGCCAGCCTGGTGCCAAACATGTGACCCTCGAGAAACAGCCCAAGGGGAAATAAATATATTGATGATTGCATTAAAGAATTACAGCTTAAGGCTACAGAGTATGAGAATATAATAGAATGGATTCCTTTTAAAAGATTAAATAACATTCAAATAATTGAAGAAAATAAATTTGGTCCAGTATTTTCAGCAAAATGGGTAGATGGTATACGAGTACTTTCACGTGAATTTAACAATTACATGCAGTTACGTAGACGACCATGCGGAATTATTCTTAAAGTGTTGCCTAGTTCTGAGAATTTAATTGACTTTTTAAAAGAAGTAAGCTAAAATTTTTTTATTCGATATTTTTATTACGCATACTTAACTTTGATAAGTAGATATATAGTTATTCATATTTATTTATTTAACATGTTTTATAAGTTTAAAGATTGCGTTAAATTAGCTGAAAAGGAGTATAAAATATATGGAATAACTCAAAACACAGCCAGCGATAAATATATGATTGTACTTGATGAATTTTACTCTAAAAGAAATCAAAAGAATGGAATATGTACATATTGTAAACGACATAACACATCGCCAGCCTGGTGCCGAACATGTGACCCACAAAAAACGGCTCATGGATGGACAAGCGGAAATAAATATATTGATGATTTCATTAAATAATTACAGCTTAAGGCTACAGAGTATGAGAAAGTAATAGAATGGATTCCTTTTAAAAGATTAAATAACATTAAAATAATTGAAGAAAATAAATTTGGTCCAGTATTTTTAGCAAAATGGGTAGATGGTATACGAGTACTTTCACGTGAATCTAATAAATGCCTACAGTTACGTAAACGACCATGTAGAGTTATTCTTAAAATGTTGTCCAGTTCTGAGAATGTAATGGACTTTTTAAAAGAAGTAAGTTAAATTTTTTTGCAATATTTCATTTCGCATACTTAACTTTGATGAATAGAATGTATAGTTATTCCTATTTATTTATTTAACATGTTTTATAAGTTTAAATATTGCGTTAAATTAAGGGAGAAAGAGTATAAAATATATGGAATAACTCAAAACACAGCTACCGATAAATATATGATAGTTCAAGATGACGTATTTAGCATGTGAGAGGTCAGGGTATTATTATTACGAATAAACTATACTTACTTGCTAGTAATTTTGAAGAACAAAGAATCAATATTAATAAAGAAATCAATTAACAATAAAATGTGCACATTAATAAACTATAATTACTGCCTAGCAATTTAACTCGTAAGTGAAAAAAACAAAGACCTAAACAAACTATCAGAAAAAAATAATGAACAAAGTAAAACAACAATTATATTACTATAATCTGTTCTACGATGAAAATGGCCAAGCATACTATATCAAAATATGACAAACAAATATAAAAATCTTACATTAATTTAGAAATTACCGGCAACACAAATCTGGCCACCTTATTCTTACCTGTGCCAAATTTTTTGTAGGTGAGCTTCTAGGGTGTCAATATCAATCTAATTACAAATATAGTGCAGGTTAGTGATGCCTGATGAAAAGATTTGATGCTAATTGTCATATGGTACAATATATAAAATCAACAATCTACGTACTGTATTTTGATTTTTTTATAAGTAATAGCACGTGATTATTAGCATCACATGGTTTCGTCAGGCATCACTATTGCAAGTCATATAACGATGATCACTAATCAAGATTTTTTATATTGAACTGCAGATCAACAATAATTTAATAGTAAAAACATAGAAAGCTCAAGCTGCAATAACTCTTGAACCAGTAAACCCACACAAATAAGATTATATTTGCAGAGTTCATTATAACATGCTCTTTAATGTTACAATGTTCTTTTATTTTACTTTTATTGTCTTGAGCGTAGTGGAGGAATAATATAATACCAAAATTCTCGTTTTTGATTTATTGTTAAAAAATATATCAAAAACGTAGCTATTGTATATGAGTGCTGTCAAAAGAAAACCTGCCATCGGACTTTCAATTATATTTTGTATACAGTTAGTCGTCTATGGAAAGTCTATTATTGTGATAGATTTTCCGTAGATAGTTAACTGTACTAGAGTTAATACCTGAATCCAGATATAACCTCTTAAATCCAGATATAATCATCAAATCTGGATTTAATAATTATATCCGGATATAAGGGGTTATATCCGGATTAACTTAGTTATACAAGTTTAATGATAAGTTCTCTTTACATGGAAAACCTTAAACCATACAAGAATTACGTAAAGTTGTCCAAACTTACTTCCCGTTGACCTCTATAAAAATTTTTTTTTTCGAGCAACATGATAACATTTTTCTTGAATGTTTTGGGTTTGCCGTTTAACGAAGAATGTGCCACGTACTCTAAACTTACGGTTTTTTGGTGAATATGCTTTGGTGAAAGTTTATTTTTTATAGTTCCACACCATACTGATACATTCCTTTTCTAAATGCTTTGATTTTTGTTGCAACAACAAGAATGTGCAGTTTTCTGGATCTAAGCTTGCGGTTTGTGACATGCTTTTGGTGAAAATTTACTTGTGAATTTTTTTGTATTTTACCATGTTCTGATACATTTTAGATTACTAAATCTTTTAATTTTGGAACCTTTAAGTTCATTGATCCGTTCCAGTGCTATTAATCATCTAAATGTGGGCTTACTGAAGCTAACATGATTTTTTTTTTTTATCATTTAATCTTAAATGAGTTCTTTTGCATTAGGTAGAGGGGTTTGTGCTAGGTTTACTAATCTTAAGGTCAATTAATGTTAATATACAATTTTTCGACTTTCTTATTAAATATTTTTAATATAATCAATAAAATTAGACCTCCTAAGGTACAATACTGAGGAGACCAATGTCTAGAACATGTATTTTAGGAGTCAAATCAATAAGTCTGGCCAAATAAAAACATGGAAAAGCTCATACTTAGAGGAGTATTACAATATAGCACTTCTTGTTGAATAATTAGATAATGCATTTGAACTCCCCAGTGCAATTCTGGAAAAACTATAAGTAAAATTGCATTTAAGAAAGTAATGTATTCGGGAAGGTTGGGATATAAGACTTATAGGAGTGATTACATTTGGAGGAGTATGGCGATATAGCTGTAAAGCTTAAATTGAAAATTTACTGCTTAAATATCAAGAATGTATAGATTTATATTGATGTTTTCGTTAAATAATTATTGGAATTTTCTTTGTCAACGATTATATGTATTTTATTTTAAATAACAAAAATAATTTTTTATAAATATTTGGCCTCATCGGTCTTGAGCTTTTTAAAAAATTTTGGTTTAAATTTTATTTCAACAATGCTTAATTCTACTAGAAAAAAAAGATGAACCACTAAAACTAATACCAAAACTAATACCCAATCAGCCTCATCTGTTGCTTCTAGCAGCAAATCCAACTCAAGGGCAAATGCTACTTTTACACGATATTTTATTCAGGATGACAAAACTAACGACACACTTACCTATTGTAAAATTTGTATTCAAGAATTAGAGGAATTAGACGGAATTCAAGCTAGTCCATATCTATATAGCGAATCGGGAGGTAGCACAGGGCATTTCGTCTATCATTTACGCGACAAACATCATATAAATTTAAAAAATTTTAGAAGATACCTTGATAATAATGACGAAGTAAATTTATTATTTAATAATAAAATCAAATTCTTTTTTAACCCACAGATATATTCTCGGGACAACATAATTTCAAATAAGCCAATTAATTTTTTTTTTTTTTTTTAGCCTACCTTCTCTTTTGCCCAAAAAACAACGAGACTTAACTAAGCTTGTAGTAGAATTCATCATATATGATGTTCAACTATTACATATATTAAAAAATCTATCTTTTTGTAAACTTCTTTATGGTTTCAACCCACAGTATCAAATGCCAAGTACAAATACAGTAAAAAAATATATTACAGAAGCTTATTTGTGGGAATCTAAAAATCTTAAAGAACTGTTACTAAATATTAGTACTGTTAATTTGACAACAGACCTGTGGACTGCAAAGAGCAATCATAGTTATTTTGGTATAACCATGACATAGATAACATCGGATTTTAAGCTTCAGGAAGCATTGCTCTCAAATTATCATATGTCACATCCATATATGGGTCAAAGAATTATTTCTCATCGTACATAAGTGGGAATTAATAAATAAAGTGCATATCATCGTAACAGATAATGGTGCTAATATGATAAATGGTATTAGTTTGTTAAAAGAAAATTACTTGCCTAATATTGTTTGGCAATCATGCGTCGCTCATACTCTTCAACTTTCAGTAAAGGAAGGGTTAAAACAAATTCAACCAATTCATAAATGACTTAAAAGTATTTAATTGTTCTTTAGACTTCCAAAGCAGGCACAGCGATTGCAAAATATACAAAGGCAAATGGATTCATTTGATATAGAACAAAGTGATGCTGAAGATGAAATAATAAATCCACTTGAAGTTTTAACCAACTGTAAGACCCGTTGGAATGTGATCTACTTGGCATGGAAATGGATTTTATTATTGCATTCAGCAATGCCAGGCTTGCGACATCATTACAAAATAAGTCAGATACTATATCAAAACGGAAAGGTAAAAAGCTTCATAAATTGTGTTTAACTACAGAAGAAAAAGAGTATGTTTTAATATATATTTCTTATATTATACTGGTTCAATACTACCAGTAATCTGCACAATGTAGAGTAGATTATTTCTATTAATTTTTTTTTTTTTTAAGATTTGTAGAAAAAATAGTTAATCTCTTAAAACCATTTGAAGAAATTACAAGACATGTATGTAGATCAAAGCATCCTACCCTCAATCTTGTATATCCTTATATACATATTTTAAAAAATAAGTTTGCACCAATAAGCAAAAAAGGAGAATCATTAGAATCATGGATTGATCTTATTTATGGTTCAGAAGACCCAGATACTAACGATGATTTAAGTCTTAGTAGTGATAATGAAGCTAATATACCATCAGCAGAAAATCGAAAACAATGGCAATATACACACTGATGTGTACATCATCAAAAAAGCTGAATTAGTTATAAAAAAAATAAAAATAAAAGAAAAAAGGCTACTCCTGAGTTAAGTAATTCCAATACTATAGAATATTTGTTATCTGTAAACTGTTCTGGGTTTATAGAAAAAGTATAAGCTGTTATTTTTCTATCTCTTGATGAATTATGGAGCTCATCTGATGAAATGGGCTTGAAGGCTTCCTTTTTGGGTACATATTACTTTACAAACTTTAAAGACAATTAATTTATACAATATTTAATAAATTAGTAGTTATTTGCTGTTAAAAATCATTGTTTACAAAATAAAACGTTTGTGAATTGATATATACCCTTCACTTTTAGATCCACGAATGTTAAAGTTATTTTCATTTGCAACCATTCAAGAGCAAAAAGAAACTGAAGACCAAATCCACACCAAATTATTATCACTAAAATATCAGCTAACTGATTTAAATAATAATGAAGAAACAGAAAGAAACTTAGTAACTACCAATGAAGATTCTCAAGATTCTTTAAGTGCTGAACTATGGGGATTATGTTCAATACCTGATCAAGACATTACTGAAGACGAATTCACTTGTTAAATGAAAGAACAAATTGCTCACAAAAATGAAGATCCATTAATACGGTGGGAAAATAGACGTATAAATTTTTTGCTTCTTAGCCAACTTGCTTAGTAGCTTAGTCATGCCATAAAAAATTGGCAGTCACGTGGTGATCATCATGCATGATCAATTTTTATTGGCCGAAAATTTTATTATCTATATCATAAGACAGCAAATTTTTACTAAACTTTGAGTGATGGTATATTAACAACCACAAAGTTAATTTTAATGAACTTTTTTTTATTCGAATTCTATAAATCTGTAGAATTCAAATAAAAAAAAATCCATCAAATTTGGCTTGGTGGGTGTTGAGATATCTTCGCTCAAAGCTTTAAAAAAAATCAAAAACATTTATCAAAATAAGAGCTGCGCCAAATTATTAAACTTTGAGCAAAGTTATCTCGACACCCACCAAGCCAAATTCGATGAACTTTTTTTATTTAAATTCTATAAATTTGTAGAATTCAAATAAAAAAACGTTCATTAAATTTAGCTTGGTAGTTGTTGAGATAACTTTACTCAAATTTTTTAAAAATTCTAAACGTCAATCAAAAAGAAGAGCTGTGCCAAACTTTTTTATAAACTTTAAGTGAAGATATCTTGACACCCACCAAGTCAAATTCAATGAGCTTTTTTTTATTTGACTTCTACGTATTTATAGAATTTAAGTAAAAAAAGTTTATTGAATTTGGCTTGGTAGGTGTTGAGATATCTTCACTCAAAGTTTATGAAAAAGTTTGGCGCAGCTCTTCTTTTTGATAGACGTTTAGAATTTTTTAAAACTTTGAGTAAAGATATTTCGACAACTACCAAGCCAAATTTAATGAACATTTTTTTATTTGAATTCTACAGATTTATAGAATTTAAATAAAAAAACTTCATCGAATTTGGCTTAGTCGGTGTTAAGATACCTTGCTCAAAGTTTAATAATTTGGTGCAACTCATTTTTGATCGATGTTTTTGATTTTTTTAAGCTCTGAGCGAAGATATCTCAACACCCACCAAGCTAAATTCAATGGATTTTTTTTTATTTGAATTCTACAAATTCTTAAAAGTTGAATAAAAAAAGTTCATTAAAATTAGCTTTGTAGTTGTCAAGCTAATATCACTCAAAATTTAAATGGAGTACAACTAAAAATAATATACAATATATTACGTATTTACTGATAAATAAATCTACTAACATGCATTTAGAAAGATAATTATGATTAATGTAAAATCTATTAACAACACTTACATACTTTGTGTAGAAAGATAATTATGCATTGTTTTATAAGTACTAACACATACATAGTGTCACATTATATAATAAATGAAACCTATTATAAAATAAAGGTTTTTTCTAAAACGATGATTTATAAATTTATTAAACATTTATAAAAGATCATTATAACAATACACATACAAAATTTTTAACTCTATTAATATGCATATAAAGTTGGTTTTAATTCATAAATCTATTAATAATATAATTTTTAATGTAATGTTTTATAGTATAGATTAATCAAAAATTTAACATTGCTATATTGTCTTGCAAAAGATGATTAAATAGAAAAGTGCATGTTTAAGTTTGATACTTTGCCTCACAATTTAATAATTATAAATATAGTCTAATAGAAAAATAGTTGACAACTGCTGCATATAATAATAATAATTAAACAGCAAGGATTCAGAATTATATTACTTAAGAATCAAATATAGTATATATAAGCAATTGCTTTCAGTCTTTAATAGAAAGGTAGAACTTAACAAAATTACAAAAATAACTAAAAAAATTTTTGACTTTGAAGCTAGCTTACCACTATGTATTTTGAATTTGACCTTTTGTAATTAAACTTTGCAAGTTTATTTATTTTCATAAATACAATCTTTAAATTTTCGTTAGATATCCATTCATTGAACCTATAGTCTAATACTTGTGCATTCATATCTAACTAAACTATCTATCTTTGATACTTAGTAAAGTAGCATTTAATCAAAAAATAAATTAGCTTAACTTATCAAACAAAAAATGGAAATGGATCAATCGAATATTAACATTGGCGGTTAGTTTTAATGATTCTTTAACCTAGAAATTGTTAATATTAAATAAATATACTAAATTTTTAACTATTTAACTAAAGATACAAATAACTCCCCTAAGACACATAAGTGTACACGATGTGGAACAGTAAAGCCAATCAGCGAATTTATGTGGTATCATGAAACAAGAAGTGGCCCATTTGAAACCTGCAACCATTGTTTTGATCAAAAGAAACAAAACTCGATGAGTAGAAATCTAATTAATAAATATACAGCACAACAAGATAAAGTAGATGATCTACTATTCGAAAATAACCTTGACTCAAGCCTACCAATGGAAATTGATAATGAGAAGATCTTGTCTACGAATTGGATGATCTTGAAGAACTTGTAGCTACACATTTTCTAAATAATGAAGAAAATGAACATGTTGAATTCTCAGCTATAATCGAACTAAATAATAAATTTGTTGAAGAGGCCTTATTAAATGAAACAAATTCAAATAATTTTAATAAAGAAAGTTTTCGTTTTATTATAAATGCTTTACTTATTTCAATTGAAGCAGGATCGCAATACTATTGGGAAATAAAAAAAATAACCAACTAACTGGATGTACTACTGCTTATTTAATTTGTTCTCAAAAAATTAAACGTCAATATAAGAATCCTAATAATCAATCTACTAAACGTATTAGTGAGTTACGGCTAGCTATTAATCGATTCTCTTGTAGTGGAAATATCACAATAAAAATTAATATTCCTCAAAAACAAGTTACTTTATTAGTTAAGCACCTAATAGCTCATGAGCAACCAACTTACCGTGAGATTAAACTACCTCAGAAAGCAATTTCCTGGATTAAATTAAATATAAACCATGGCCTTCGTGTAGCAGAATTTTATAAAAGACTTTTTTATGAAAAGCTTATAGATCCGACAATTCATAATTACCATCAGATATATTATTGGGTATCTAAATTTTCTGCTAGTCAATATATATTGAATATAAAAAACCAAGTTATATCAACAAAAGATTACATGCAGTGACAGGAATTAATTAATAAAGGTTATAAATTAATCTTACATATTGAAAATAATTTCGTTAGAGCACTTGGGTTTATCACACCATTTATAAATATAATTTTAAAAGAAAAAATTAGTGAGCTTATTATTGATTCCATGTTCAAAACAAATAAAGAAAAATTTGAATTATTTGCCTTAATAGTTAACTGTGGTGGGTTCGGAATGCCACTTGCTTATCTATATCTTGATACATTTACTGCATCAGAAGATTACTTACAAGATCCTCAAAATAATATTAATAATAGAACCCAGGTTCTTATAGAATTTTTTCGTCTCATTAGAAAAGAAGATATTTATTTTGCCTTCTTTTATTCTTCTTGATAAAGACATAGGGCAAATTACAGCAGTAGATGAAGCCTGGTCTCAAAAAGTAAATATTCAATTATGCTTTTGGCATGTTGAACGTGCCATTGATCAAAAAATGAAAGAAAAAAATCCTAGAGTATCTTACTATACAGTTAAAAAAGCAAAGGAGGCAAATCATCAATTTACCTTTATTGATTCAAACTGGTTTCCTGCAGAAAAAAAAGCCCAATATGTTCTGCGGAAAATGCAAAAGATATCAAAAATATGATAAAAAAACATTCTATACTTCATCCACTAATACCTATAAATATAAATACTTTCCTTACTTCTAATGAAATATATCATCAATGCGTTTTAGAGGTTTATCAATTGTTGGAAAAAAATCTTGTACACCTATGGGCCTATTTATGGGTAAATTGGTACGATAAAAAAAATTAGAACCTTTTTGCCTGATTATCTTACTCGAAAGCTATTCCTATAGCAAGAACTACTATGTTAATTGAATTTAATTGGCGAACTTTAAAACATGATTATAAATACAATTATAACAGACCTCATCTTTATCATTTAAACTTAAAAATTTAATTCCAGACATAGTGAACACTTGGAACAGATATCATAATAACTGAAATGTTCCATCTTGGTGGGATAATTTTAAAGGAGCTTGGAAAAAATGCCTTGAAAAAGATATTGAATTTCCTGAAAATTATCATATTGATGCCGATAAATGGATTTGCTCCTGTCCAGCTTTTATAAATAGTCCATATTTGATATGTAAGCATTTAATAAAAGCTTATACTACAAATCATTCAAATTTCTTTTCACAATTTTTAAGTACAGTTCGACATCATGATTATCTATTAATATATTTTGGAAAAGAAAAACCACCAAGAATTAATTTAATCAATAATCCTTGGAATAATGCTTCACAAGATTATTTAAACGAACCAAATATTGTACCTGAGATTGAGTTATTTAGTGAAAATAGATTAAATATTCATTCCCGATTTGATATTATTGAAAAGCGAAAAGCTGAACTAGCACTAGGTAAAAAGACTTTTGAATATTTAATGTCAATCATTGAACAAAATATTGAGAATGATAACTTTTATAATGAATATAAAAAACTCAAACAAAATTTGGTTGAGGAGACTTTAGCTTGTAAAGAAGCCTTAAATGCCATAAAGCAACAACAGACTTGGAAGCCATCTAAGAATCAAAAGTTGGCATTTTGGCTAAAGTAAAATAAATATCGATATATAAATGTACGTATAAGTAAGTAATTAGGCTCAGAGTTAAATCTATATTATAGATCTTTGTGTAATAAATAAATAAAATTATACCCGCATATAAGTTTTGTTCTAATATTCTAACAAACAGGTGCTTACCAAGTTCAGAGTAATAAATTTTTAAGCGAATAGTTCTTATTTTTAGAAGGTTCGTTCTTATAGATATAAAAAAATTTTTTCATTGTCGCAATTTTTTGTAATAAAATTTTCGGCCAATAAAAATTGATCATGCATGATGATCACTGCGTGACTGCCGATTTTTTATGGCATGACTAAGCTACTA